GGTAAGTCTCACCAATGATTGTAAATGTCAAACCTGCTTCAACTGTAACATTTTCCAGCACACAGTAATTCCCACGACAACAAAAACATCATCAAGGTTCAGTCCCTGTACCCGTTTAATTAACAATTATATTACAGGTCACATATTATACTCCTTTTCAAAAAGTTAAAATAAATCTCAGAGCTCCCCAAACATATCTGTGAAGTTTCTTTGTGATGTCATGAAGAGAAAATCTCCAAACAGCCTGTTTGAGCACACATTGTCTGAAAGGTGGAGCAGGCTAAAGACAGAGAGGATGGACTTTTCTCATTATTTGTTGTCTTGTTTTGAGCTTCTGATACCCTTTCATTCAAACTATTGATCTGTTGTAAACATCATGAATCAATATAAAAACATTTTTTTAACCCCAGAGACATGCTGTTATGAAATCTGAGATAACTTTCATTTGAAGAAAACAGACTATTTTCCTTTATTCATAACACAATAGATTTTGAAGCAGTTTATCCCTGTGTGACAGATTATTGGGATGAAATCTATGAAAGTTTAGTCGACTCCACTCTAAATCTTCCAGATGCAGTTTATTGTAAATCGAAAAATAGACTTGAGCTTGTATAGCATCCTTTTAGTCTTCTAACTTCTCAAAGCACTTTTACACCTACACATTCACACACTGATAACAGAGGCAGTAACTTATCCCATTCATACACCGCTGGTGAAGCAGTGGGAGCAATTTGGGCTTAAGTGTCTTACCAAGGACCCATTGAACATGTAGATGCAGGGGCTGGGGATTGAACCCCCAACCTTCTGGTTGAGAGATGACCAACTCTTGCACTGAGCCACTTCACAATAAGATTTATTGATGGAGATAGTGATGATCATAATCTGGCCTGGTTCCTATATCAAGGTGGGGAGGCTGCTGGTTCCCCTTCATTAATAGGACAGCTAAAGGCAGACTGTGATTGTTGGTAGGAGAGGGTGGGTGATACTGAGAGTCTGAATAAATGATGGTGATTTTGAAACTATGATGATGATCATTAAGATGATTTGGACATATTGTATGTTTATACTTTATTTTTTATTTTTAGGGTGGTTATGATGAAACGTACAGTATCGTCTTCTATGAATGCAACATTGGTGAGTTGAGAAACATCATAACTTGATAAGAAAAAACACAAAATGCTGGCAGGTATTCAGACCTCAATGAGGGCGACTAAGCAGTGTGTGCTTCTTATTTCTCTCAGAGTGAAAACTGCAGCACCTCAGAGATGAAGGCTACATCAGCTCAGAGAGATACAGAGTGTTCAAAGCTCTCTGACATTAGCTCAGAGGAAAATGTTGTTTCCTGTATCATTATCACATTTATTTCTCATGTACAGCTTCATTGCTTAAATGAATAACATCTTTATCAAAGTAGACATTAGCACGGTGAACTGGTCTACTGCATTGATAGAAACAAAGAAATCAGAAACTGAATAAAGTTAGAAGATAACATCTCCTGTATCACAATGTTTGAAATAATAAATATATCCTACATAACAACAAACTATGTTTCTGCTCTTCATGTTAACTTCAGCTTGATATTTGTTTTTAAAGTGTTCATGATCCACATATGTACCCTGACTAAACACAAAGGGATGGGAAAAAATACAAACACACTACAATACAATACAAAGAGGAGAACGAGGAAACCACCATAGAGACAGAAATCTATCACAACTATATGTTCAAAGACCAAGCCAAGAAAAATCTGAATTTAGAATGAGTATCGTAATGAGCATGGCAGAGATAAAAGTAATGAGTGAAGTTGGATGAAGGGATGATTATGAGGGTCGATAGATGAGGGGATGAATGTAAGGGTTGTTTTCAAAGCACTTATGATCCACCAATGTAGCATACTACTAAATAAAAAACTTTAGACGTTTTTTATTATTATTTATACATTTGAAGAAGTCACAGAAGTGTCCACTAGAGTGGACATCATGCTAAAATTACTATTATTTATTTTTTTTTGAATGGAAAAAACAAATAGTTTTTGTTTCTTTATAAAACACATTTTGTTTGTCACATGCAAATGGTAAATGGACTTGGGCTTGTATAGTGCTTTTTTAGTCTTCTAACTACTCAAAGAGCTTTTACACTGCAGGTCACACCTACACATCCAAACACTGATGGAAGAGGCTGCTATGTTACGTGTCTATCAGAAGTAATCCCATTCATAAACATTCATGTGCCAACAAATGAAGCAGTTGGGAGCAATTTGGGGTTAAGTGTCTTGCCCAGAGACACATCGGGCATGTGACTGCAGGAGCTGAGGATAGAAGCCCCGACCTTCCTGTTGAGAAACAACCAACTCTATTTCTGAGCAACAGCCATCCACTGTGTCCATATGTCCAATGGGGTGGATTTAGTCCTTTTGAGTTTCTTGAATTTGAATTTTGAAGGTTTTCTGTCTTTCATTTTTGAAGTTGTTTCTCCTAAAAAATGGGACAGCAAACATTGTGGGAGAGCTGGGGTTTGAATTCAGACTTAAGCTCTTGCTGAATTAACACCTTCAATGAAACCTACAGTATGTAATAACTCACAGAAAAAATAATGGATGTAAAAAACATCTCTCAAAAGTCATAGTTTAAAAATATAAATCTATTAATTTCAAAAAAAAGTTTGAATCCCCATCAAATATTGTGAAGATCAGCAAAGTCTCTCCAAACCTAAAATCAATATCTAGAATTTCAACAATAATATCGTTCCTTAGTTTTTACTTGATGTTGAAATGACTTGTTGATGCTACATTATGCCTCTGATTGATTGATGATTTGATTGTACTGTATGATCAAGCGGCTGGCCTGCATTGTCCATGAGTAGACAAACTCATTGGCATGTCCTTATTTATAAGGCTATACTTAAAGGGACACTTCACCGATTGAAACATGAATCTGTATTGACATTGGGTCATATGTAGAAATGTGAAATACATTTTGAAGTTGGCCGTGAAAAGGCAGAAAGTGTCTTTTTGGCTCATGTTGATGAAAGACACCAAATCCCAGAATGCACCGCAGGCCACTCCCACTAAGGTCCTCTAATTCAGAATCAGAAATACTTTATTAATCCCAGAGGGAAATTTGATCGTTACAGTTTCTCCAAAATATACAGTATAGCAGTAGAAATATAGTAATAAAAACATTTACAGACATATTTACTTCAACACATAAGACCATTTCCTTAACAGATTCAGAGATTTCTTCCAGAACTGATCTTGGAAATGAATGGCAGAAAACAGACTCTATGTCTGTGTCCATCGTCAAACAGTGAGAGCACCGACACTACCAGTTCACCCCAACTCGAGCCGGCCCCGGCTCCTCATCCTCACCGCCGCCGACAGGCAGGCATCATGTCTCTGCTGCTGAGCTGGCGGTGGCCAGCGACGGCAATATAACAATATAAAGACGGTTGCTGCCGACAGGCCGGTCTTATGTCGCAGCCGGGCTCCCGGGGTCAGGGCTCGCAGCGGCCGGGCTCGTGGCAGCCAAAACACAAAACCGGCCTGTCGGCCGCTATATTTATGTTTTTTTGCCATTATCAGCTTTCTCCATAGAGCCTGTTAGCACAGCTTCCAAGCAATATGGCGGACGTTAAGTTTAGATTCTGGGAGCGAGTTCCCACCCACTGATCTGTGATTGGTCTGTAGCTTCAGTGGTCGAAAATATGAAGAACTAGCGTTGTAGTTTCACCCCGCTAACCACAACAGCTTCCAGTGACGCAAAAATCGTCATTTTGCGTCACTGGAAGCTCCTTTTCAGACTTAGAAATACAAAGATTTCCCATCTCAGGGGAAAATGAGGGCGGGATGCACGACCATTCAAAAATACTACCAGGTTTCTAATGATACAAAGCTTAATGCAAATGGTTGAAGTATCCCTTTAACCTGCTTCCCTCACACTTGTGTAATTGTATTCATGCGACTGGAAGCTAGGTCTTTGCTCTACGAGCCAGTCACAAAACGTATTGTTATCTGTTCCCAAACTGTGTCTTTAAACGGGGAAAAGGAGTCTCAGGTGCGCTGCTCCTGCTGGCTGGAATCTCCTTCAGGATGATCTTTGTCTTGGGGAGCTGGTCTCTCTTTTTATCATTTTTAAAGTATATTGAAGGTGTTGGAGGAAAATGCGAGATGCTTTAAATAATGACTTTTCTTCTCTGTGACTCAGGACATGTTGATCTGTGTTTGTAATTACTCTGTGTTTTATGTCTGTAACATATCTGTTGTGCTGCTGCCCCTCTTGGTCAGGACACTCTTGTAAATGAGATTCTTAATATCAATGATGTTTCTCCTGGTTAAACATTTTCATAAAAAAAGGGTTGTCTGGAATAACAGGATTGGAAAGACATTCCTGAGCCTCGTGGGAATGACTTTGTGAAGGCAATCTTGATTTTGAAGACACGTTTGTTATATTTACTACATCTGACCAGTGGGTGGCAGTGTATGGCTTGATAATTCCCACTACAGAGTCTGATGTGAAACTACGATGCATTTAGCAGGAAACAGCTTTTTGAACAGCTGTTCACTGCAACCTCCAGAATTAAATAAATGAAAACAAACTACAATATTAAACACATTATAATACAAGAGACACAAATCTATCACAACTGTATATAAAATATTGTTCATACAATGACTAAAAGCTTGAGATCAGTCACTTTGAACAACCAGAAGAAACATACAGCTTGAGGAGGCAAATGTGTGAATAAACTGTTTTAACAATGAAGAAAAAATGAAACAAACTTTGTCTTTAGTGAGAGCAGACTATGAACAAGCTCAGTGTGTTAGTGAAGTGTACTGTAGGCATATGTTTCACCTACATACACTATGTCATCTTTCTACAGATGTTAGTTTCCAATGTGGGATATTCAATTTTTAAAAATGGTTCTTTAAATATTAAGCTGTGGTTTGTCTGTCAGTGGGTCTCATTTCTGATAGCTGTCGTTCTCATGTATCTAATTTAAGAACTTGGTCTCATTAACCACAAAGTCCACACAGTGAGACACACACGTATCCTCTGTACAGTCTCAGTGTTCAGCTTCATCATGGCCGGGCATCTGCTGTTTGTTTTCTTCATGTGTAAGTAAAACCTTTATTGATTTATTCAGTATTATTGTGGACTATTATAAAGCTCTGCAGATTGAAACATGACGTTAATGTGTCATGTCAGATATCATCATATCAGTGATTAAGCTTTGAGTCTGTGATATTGTGTTTTGTGTTCCGCCAGTTGTGACAAATAAAATCTATTTTTGTCTCACTGAATAATTCTCCATTTGATTAAAATAAATGAATAGTTGGAGGAGTTTAAATGTGTGAACTCTTGGAGTTATTATTATGTAGTCAACTTACTTTCACTGTGTTTTTTAAACAGATGTCTTTAATGGGATTCAAACAGAAGGTCAGTCTGTGATCTCTCATCGTTCATGTCTAACTGTGCTGTGATCGCTGCACTACTGAAGAATTTAAACATTTATGTGCAGCTTATGTTTGAGTTTGATAAAACATATTCATGGTTTATATTTTCAGCTCGTCTTCCACCTAAACTTACAGTGAATTCAGCAGTGATCAAAGAGACAGACTCAGTCACACTGAACTGTCAGACTCCATCATCAGTGTCTGTGTCTCAGTGTTATTACCAAACTTTAAGTGGAGAAACTGTGAGGATATTTTCCTGTCTGCAGACACTGACAGGAAGTGAGCTGCTGAGGATGGATCATCAGAGTTCATCTGCTGAGGTCAAAGTGAAATGTTTTTACACTGTTAAGAGTGGAGGCAGAAATGTTCCATCTCCACACAGTGACACAGTCTCCATCAGCATACAAAGTGAGTAATACAAGTGTTCATATTCATATAATAATAATAATAATAATAATAATAATAATATTCATATATTTTGTCACATAATCAGAAAAAAAAAATGGTTCAAGCAGTCTGATTTAAAGAGTTGGAATATTGTCAAAAGGCATCCTCTATCAGTATACATTTGTCAAGTGATTTATTTGAATGAAAATGCTTCTGCAGATTTGAGATGTATTTGAGCTAAATTTGTTTTGTGTGTTTTGGGAATTAGAGTGTGATTATGTAAGACAATCTGTTGTTTGTATTGTTTTTTTAATCATAAAAACACCAAAACAAACATACCAATGGGAGCACTGTGGGAAAATGTATTGTACTGTTGAAGAGTTGCAGTTGTAAACATATTTAGTTTTATATTTTTCAAATATATTTGCTCATATTTTCAGCTCTTCCTCAACCTGACCTGATGGTGAATTCAGCGGTGATCAAAGAGACAGACTCAGTCACACTGAACTGTCAGACTCCATCATCTGTGTCTCAGTGTCAGTACTTCACTTTAAGTGGAAGAACTGTGAGGACATTTTCCTGTCTGCAGACACTGACAGGAAGTGAGCTGCTGAAGATGGCTCATCAGAGTTCACCTGCTGAGGTCAAAGTGAAATGTTTTTATACTGTTCAGATTGGAGACAGAAATACTCCATCTCCACACAGTGACACAGTCTCCATCAGCATACAAAGTGAGTAATACAAGTGTTGTCAATATTCATATATTTTGTTACATCATCAGAAAGACACAAACTGGTTCAAGCAGTCTGATTTAAAGAGTTGGAATATTGTCAAAAGGCATCCTCTATCAGTATACATTTGTCAAGTGATTTATTTGAATGAAAATGTTTTTGCAGATTTAAGATGTATTTTGGCTACATTTGTTTTGTTTTGATAATTATATTGAGAGTGATTATGTAAGACAATCTGTTGTTTCTATTGTTTTTAATCATAAAAAACAAACATACTAATGGCAGCACTGGTGGATCATGTATTATACTGTTTCAATAATGGTGAATATGTTTACATTTATATTTTTCTAATACATTTGCTCATATTTTCAGCTCTTCCTCAACCTGACCTGATGGTGGATCCAGCAGTCATCACAGAGACAGACTCAGTCACACTGAAGTGTCAGACTCCATCATCTGTGTCTCAGTGTCAGTACTTCACTTTAATTGGAAGAACTGTGAGGACATTTTCCTGTCTGCAGACACTGACAGGAAGTGAGCTGCTGAAGATGGATCATCAGAGTTCACCTGCTGAGGTCAAAGTGAAATGTTTTTACACTGTTCAGAATGGAGACAGAAATGCTCGATCTCCAGAAAGTGAATATTCCTCTGTCTCTGTTCAAAGTAAGTAAATCTGTCTTCAAGCTGAATCAGCAGAAGAAAAACCCTGTGGTGTAAATGTCATGAACAAAACATTTTATTTTATTTTTAGGTGAGACAAACTCAAACAAGGAGAGTCTCAGCACTTTGACAACCTCAGTTTCTATTGTAACTTCACCTGCTGATCAAGGTGAGTATAGTATTTCAGTGTTGCTTACTCTTTTACCGTCATTTACTAACTAGCACTGTCACATAAAACTACAGTCCCACATTTTCCTTAAACTTCAGACTCCTGTTAAAACGTAATTTTTTCACACATTCAAGTCCAACAGACTCCTGATTTATCCTTTAAATAAATCCCACACAGCAGGAGTTTGCCTGGACAAACTTAGTGGTATGATGATCAAAGTCATACGCTGGTCAGAGATTATAACAATTAACTGATCAACTTCACTGGTGAAGGTATCTGGTCCAATCAAAATTATATATCAGTTTTGTCAGGATTAGAATCAAGTAAATTAAGATAAATCCACTTTTGGATAGCCATATACCAGTTTTTGACAGTTATTATTGGGTTTTATCATCAATGTTTTATAGTCCTCTCCATCAGCAAAAACAGAGGAGGTTTTTCCGTGCTGGAAATCAAAAGAAAGCCTGATATGTCTCATGTTGTCAAGCACATTGACGTTGATATCACTCTAACCTCTTCTGCTGCAGGTATTGTAGAGAAAGAGTCCAGATGGACCCAGAGGACGCCATCACTCATCACAACCACAGGTAGGACATTGTATGATTCTAGATCACTTTTACAAACAAGTATTAACTCTAATATTTTACTTTATTCACCAGGTCTGCCTACAAGTAGCTCTAGTGCCTCCACTATTGTGAGACCTTTGAAAAAAACATCAGGTAATATAATCATTTACGTAATACATTTAATTATTTTTTTTCATTATGTTTAGTTTGAAATTATATTTTTTTAATTAACAAGGTTGGACTGTTGGCACAGCAAGTAACAATGATAGTCCCAACTTTGCCCACTCAACATCAGTGAAACCAGAATCAGGTGACATGTTTAATTTTGCTTTAACCTCAATGCCAGTTTCAGCACAAGACAACATGGATGGTTGATGGTTATTGATTGCTCAACCTGATATCTGTGATGGATATACAGGTTCATAACTCTTTGTGAAGAAAGCTTTCCTGCTGTTTGGGATTGTTTGACTGTTTCATGTAGTGTGTTTACGCTCTATGTTGAATAATTCAGATAACCTTAAAGCCAGAAGTCAACTGACTGACTTATATCAATTGTGTTACAATCAGGGGGAGAGCAGGGGCAGTTGTATCCTGAAACTGTGCAAAAGCTCCATTAGATTAAAAAGCAGACGCATGGAGTGCTGCATGGAAGTTGAAAAAAGTTTTGATAATTCATACTTCTGGTGCTCTTCAGTGCGAGTATTCAACTTAAAGGCTTTTGAAGAAGTCTGAGTGCCTCAGATTTCTTCAAAAGCTCCCTTAGATTGTCTTATCCGAACAAAAAAGGAACCACTTTTGAAAGCTACCAACTTCATCGCCTTTGGTTTCTTTTTAGGTAAAAGGTTTGTGTAATTTATGTGACTTGAATGTAAATGTTTGATAATCAGCTGATTGGTGATGGTTGAATCCAGGTGCAGACACAGAACAGGTAAGGCTGGCAAGTGGTGAAGGGGGAGCTGGTGGTGTTAATCTAGAGCTTGACTTGTGACACAGACAACGTAAGAATGGTGTATTGTTCTTGCACAGACTGACAGAGCAGGGTTCTTTTAAGGCCCTGACACACCAAGCAGATGGCCAAGAACTGGTGGCGATGAAGACCGCCTGTTGTGTCGGCAGGCGACACCTTTTGTCTTGGCCAAAAAGTTGCACTAGAACACACAGCAAAGACTACAGACGACGGCCAACCACCACGTACGTTCTGCGCATGCATGAGAGGCAATAACTCTCCATGTCAGCAGGTTGCGGTAGTCTGTAATCGTCATTCCAAAAAGGGAAAACTGGAAAAGGACGAGGAAGAACACGGATAAATAAAATGTTGTTGTCTTACGAGAAGGCAATTTTCTCACCGCTGTCGCTCAACACTCGTAATATAGGTACTTCTTATCGAGAATGTCTGATGAAAAGTTGAAAATGGCGCTGGCGTTGTCAGCGGTGCAAGCCCAACCACTTTCGGATGTAGTTGTTAGCTTGGCTGTCCATCCTGCTGACCTCTGATGATGGAATCTCGCTGACCTTACGTGGCCACAACACTTGATGGTACAGTGTGTGTTGATAGCACCACACTTTGTATTTTCCCTGGCAGATGGCATTGGTCGATTTTTTGCCAGGCCCTCCGCAAGTTGTTGCTTGGCTAGCTTCCCCATGTGTCTGTCAGAAAAGTCTGCAGGTTTTACTGACAGTCGTGGGATCAGCTACCCACCAGCAACAAAGATGGTATTGTTCTGTGGCACCCCTTTCCTCAAGCAGAGACTTCTTGATTTTTCCACCTTGATCTTCATTCTTGCCCTTGTGATGAGCTCATCAAGGCGATCGAGGAGCCTATCCGTGCATGGAGCCGTCTGAAGGATGCTTCTGACAACGTCAATTCAACTCCTAAGCGGGAGAAGCCTGGTAACTTGATACCTCCCATCACCTGCCTTGCTCCTATGAGGATTATCTCAAAGGCTACAAGATTGGGGAGATTGCGCATCCCATGACAATTCCAGCTGTTGCCATCCTGATGTGTAGCCTTCCAGGGTGAAGCCCATGTGCAGGTTGCTTGAGTATCTGGCTAGGATATTCTTGACACAATCTGGGATATGGAAGAATTCCAAAGCAAAGTCTATCAGCTTGTGCGTCACTGAGCTGTACGCATTGGCAAGGTCTAACCACATCACTTGCAGGTTGCTCTTCTCTCTCTTCGCACGCTGGATTTGGTCCCAAAAACAGCAAAGAAAATCGGACTGAACTGGTCGATGGTATGGGAGTTCTGATCTTTGGGGATGAAGACACCGATTGCTTGTTGCCACTATAATGGAATACAGCTGTTTTCATATGCTTCCACAGCACTTTCACTACCTGGGGACAGTTCTTATACAGCTTGTAAGGGATCCTGTTCTGTCCAGGGGCTGACGCTGACCTTGACTTTTTGATAACCTCTTCCACCTCATGCAGTTTAGGTGGGGAGGTATCAAATGGCAAGGTTGATGGAGCTGGGCATAGCACATGTCCTGGGGAGTCGAGAGGTGTAGCTTGTCTGCTACCACTGTACTGGCTCTTCATGTACTGCTCCATCTCCTCCTTGGTGGCGTCTAGCTTACCACCGTCTCCTTCTCTCTCTTCTTCCTCCTCCTTCTGATCCTCTTGGTCCTGTGCAGCTGGGCAAGCTTCTGTTTGATCTCGTCCCACAGCTCCTTTAGGCCGACTTTTTCATTGGGTGCAGCTTTCCTCCAGTTCTGGCTGAGTTGGTTCTGACAAGTTGTTTGGTGTCCCTCTCTATCCTTCCCATTCTCTGGGCTGTGGGCAGCTTCCTCCTGATTTCCCCAAACTTCACTCTGCACTCCTCATGGATGATCTTGCTGAAGATGTTAAGCTTGCTTTTGACTCCTCCTCTCAAGGACAGCTCCAGCAGGTGGCTCAAGTCTGCATCGAGTTTCTGCCTTGGCCTTCAAGTGGCCAAAATCCTTCGCTTTTGGCCACTTGATCTTGATGTGTCTCCCTGGTTGCTTTACTATTACTAGCAAACTATTAATACTGCAGACTAGTGGGGCGTGCCACTGGTAGGCCTGTGTCCTCATCTATGTTGTTTACCTTCTCCATCACAGGACCTCTTTCTGCTACTTCCCACATTCCAGCACCATTGGGTTGCAATCCCAGCTTTGGGTCCCTATCGTCTGAACTGCTTGCACAATGCGAGGTCGTTGGTCTGTCTGCCTTTCATCTACCCCTGATGGATGTGTAATCCCCTGCATGATGTCACGGAGGATTTTCTCATTGTTGTTTTCTGTTCCTGTCGTTACCTCTTGTTTCGTCCTGGTAGGCCCATCTTCTCTCGGAAGGCCTTCAGGTTGTTTTATTTTGTTCTGCTTGGTGTATTCTGGGGCTTCCAGGTTGCAAGTGGGTAGGGTGACTAGCCGCCCACTCCTGCTGCAGTCTGTCCTGCTGTCAACTGGTCTGTTCAAGTTGTCCGCCAGTCTTTCCTAGCTGTCACCTGCCCTACAACATCATGTACAATACAATAGTGATGTTTCAAAAGCAGAGTGACTGTAAATCTGGGCATTTATGACTGAGCTTGTACACAGAGGGACATTAACCATCTGGGATTTTTGTCTTTTCTACTTTTTGCCCAAAACACTCTGGGTTAATAAAAACATTCCTTGTTAAAAGTCAGATGCTTCTTCACTTATGTTCAAAGATAATGGTACGTTTTAATGTTTTTGTGTTTGTGTGCTTTTAAGATACAGGTATTACTGCGGCCTCAAATAAGACAGCACCTGGCAATTAAATGAAAGCTAGACCAATATTGATATCAATGCATGATATACTCAAATGGTTCTCTTTTTCTTGTTGTAAAACTGTTTTGGCTGTGCAGGTCCGACTGTAAGTCCTCCGGATACTAAAGAATTGTGGAATTGGACGTTTGTCTGGGTTTTCGCTGGATGTGGATCTACTGTGGTCATCACAGTGATTGTTAATGTTATTCTCTGGAAGAAAAGAAGAGCTGGTGAGTCTAATGAAGTCAGAATCTTTTGTTATGTAGAAGACTGAAATATCAAACTTTTAAACTTTACTCTTTCAGTTTTTCTTTTGTAGTGAAATATTTGTAAGCTCTAAAAGTTGCGATTGTAAAATGGTAAATGTACTTGAGCTTGTATAGCACTTTCCTCGTCTTCTGACTACTCAAAGCACTTTTACACTGCAGGTCATACTTACACATTCACACAATGATGGTAGAGGTTGCAATGTCAAGTGTCCATCAGTGTGAATTAATCCATTCATACAAATTCATCTGCCGCTGACGAAGCAGCTGTGTAATGCTTGTTGTCATGTAGATTGACATTAACATCACTCTAACCTCTTCTGCTGCAGGTATTGTAAAGAAAGAGTCCAGAAGGACCCAGAGAATGCCATCACTCATCACAACCACAGGTATGACATTGTATTTATTCAAGATCCCTTTTACAAACAAGTATTAACAGCAGGAGCAACTTGGGGTTAAGTGTCTTGCCCAAGGACAGATTGGACGTGTGGCTGCAGGAGCTGGGGATCAAACCCTTGACCTCCCGGTTGAGAGACCGTCTCTACCACTGAGACACAGCTGTCCCTTTAATCCCTATTGAAGGGTTAAAAATCTACTTTGAATATGTACTTGTAAGAGCTACTACTTCAGACAGACACATTTAAAACTAAATTGTAATGCATTTCGAGTATAATGAATTAAATAGTGTTTAATTTACCGAAGGTGCATTTGGAGAAGACATCAGAAAACACTGATGTCAGGAAAAGGGGTCAGGTTTGAATGGCTGCTCTAACATGCACCCAGCTTTAAAGGTTTTGGTGAAGCATGATTGAAGACTCCACTGAGGAGACCTTGAAAAAAATGGCAACTGTTGAGTTCACATGGTTCACAGCTAGCCTATTAAAATAACTTCTGTGGTAAATGTCAGCTTGCGCATAAATAACCACAAAGAGCTGCAGCTCAAACTGAGTAAAAGACAAGCGTGGTAGAACACAGCGCTGAGACATGGAGACAGTGTCGGTGAGAACACTCTCATATCTCATATCTCATATCTCATAGCACTTCTGAACGTGAGCTGGAGGTGAGGTGAGGTGTATTTCTTAATAACATAAAGTGTTTCACAACCTTCAATTCTTAGCTGTTGCTGTCAGTGGCAGTTATAGATCACTTTTACTGAGGGGGCCAAACTGGGGCCAGTTGTTTTGTTAGAGGGGAACATTAAACATGGACAAAGATAATCGCTTTTATATATATATATATATATATATATATATATATATTATGCTAAATAATAGTGCACATCATTAAATACCATGATTTACATTTGTTTCCGTTAATATCACAGTAGATTGTGAGTACGGTTGTTGAGTTAAATACTGTGTATGTGTTATTAGGGGGGCTCTTCCTTTTGGAGGGGTGGCCACATGGGGGACCAAGCTCAGTGTCACAGGGGCACTGGCCCCTGTTGGCCCCTGCCTAGATCTGCCCATGGTGGTTGTCCAAGCTGTAGTTCCCATAATGTTTCTCGTATCACCCTCCGGAACTAAGAACATATTTTATTGATGCATTCAAAAGTTTCCATTAACTGTGACTGTGTTGTAATTTCTGGTGACTTTTTATTCACATCAACAATCTGAACACAAAACTGTTATTAAATGTGCTAGAAGCATTTGAGTTCTCACAGCGGTTTAAGGGGCCCACACGAAAATAAGGTCACACCATCGCGATTCTATTTAAAGGACACAGTAAAGTAATAACGGTTACTGCTTTTCTCGATGTTGCAATTCAGATCACTTCTGCATCTTTTTTAATATGACCTGCAAACCAAGACATGACAATGTGGTTATCATTTCAAATGTGCGTTCTATTAATGACAATACCACTGATATGTATATTAATACATGAACCATAATCATGTCATCATGTGATGAGATGAGGGCCAATTTAACTCTGTTGTTAGTCAAATCATTGGCAGCACTGCTCCCGTCAAAAGCCAATAAAACAACACGGCTGTGGATCAGTGATCGAGTCGTCTCTCAACCGGACAGTCGGGGGTTTGAACCCCAGCTCCTGCAGCCACATGTGGGCAAGGGCAAGACACTTACCCCAAGTTTCTCCCACTGCTTCGTTGCTGCCGTATGCATGTGTATGAATGGGATTAGTTACTTCTGATGATCACTTCACATAACGACCTCTGTCATCAGTGTGTGAATGAATAGATGTGACCCGAGGTCAGAAGACTAGAAAAGTCTGCTATTAAACAAAAAAACAAAGACTCCTGGGAGGAATGGGGAACAAGTGAGGATGCTCAAAATCTCGCCGAAAGGCTGAACAAAAATGGTGAGATTAAAAGCTTCAGATATATTTTTAAATCTAGAAAAAGTATACTGACCTGTCAGAAAAAAATAACTGAAAATGTCAAAACAGCAACACATCTCAAAAATGATAAATTACTATACAAATAATACTCACTATCTCTTCTTCACAGTTAGTAAACTATTAAATCCTTATAGGTCAAATTCTGAGGAATTACTCTCTTTGAATAAATGTAATGAGGTCGCTAGTTGCAAACTAAATAAAAAAATAAAATAAAATCTTGCACATAAGAACTTACACTTTGAAATCATGTAAAAGCAATTCCACGCTATCAGGCTCCTCTCATCAGCCCACATGTGTCCAAGTTAGTACTGTACAGTACCTACCTCTACCTCTCCTCTTGACCCTATTCCCACAAAACTGTGTAAATGTGTCCCTCACAGCCTGTTACATGACTTACATCATGTTGTAAATGATTCTCTTCAGAAATGGTTTTCCCCACTTCTCTAAAACCTGCTACAGTTACTCCTTTACTAATAAAAACAACAAACCTGACCCATCAATCATTACCAACTACAGACCAATCTCCAACCTTCAGTCAAATTCTACAAACAATTACGGTTACCATCCATTCACAGTCTGTGTGATCTGTACCAATCAGGTTACAGAGCAAACCGCAGCACTGAAACTGCCACTATGTGATCAATGACCTGGAAATCAACCGTATTGTATTGTGTTTGTTTTTGTTTCTCTTCTGTCAAGCATACTGAGTTTAATTTTGTATGAAATGTGCTACACAAATAATATTTTATTGAGTTAATGCATCTAAAAAACTGCATCTTTCCCAATCCTGTTTCTAAGTTTACTTTATTATATCATCCTCGATCTCTGGTAGTTGACTCGACTCCCCTTAAATCAGCACACCCCTTAAAAAAGGAAAAATAAATACAATTTAAATAATAAATGTCAGTCAAGCGCTCCAGCAATATGAAGGGCATCATTATTCATTTCTGGACGAAAACATCGAGCCATCGGACTGAAAGGTTCTAATTAATGGACAGAGTGTGCTGTAAAATGTAAAGCTATAGGGAACATTTTCTCATCTGTGTGTCTTCCTCAGTCACAGGTTCTGAGGGAATGGAAAGGAGTGAGTCTCGGAAAAGCAACGTAAGTCTGACAGGAAGAACAATAATCACATTTTTCCAGATATACCAGATGCTCAAGTTGGTTTCTGTCTTTTCCCAGCGGTCTTTGTACCATATTTACTCTACCATCTATGAGGGTCAGACTGCAGCAGCCAGCAAAGACATGATCTACAGCAAGCTGCAGGCACACTGACATGCTAACAGTTTAAAAGTGTGTTCAAGAAGAGAAGAAGTTGACTGATGTGATATAGAACCAGAGGTACCCATCACGAACCAGACAGCAGCTGTCATATTTCTGATGGATCGGTGGGGTGGGGGCGGATTGTACACCATCTTCTACTAATGTCACATTGAGATATATGAAGTACAGTAAAAGCATAATGAAACCCAAACGACTGTAGAAAACTCTCAAAAAATCTAAACTTAACTCGCCATCAGTGTGAACCAGTATATATTATATATATATTTAAAAAAACGTGTTGATGTGATCTGTTTCTTCATGTTCTCTCCTCACTAGCATGCGCAGCTTTGACCCACACGTGACCTTATCAGTAAAATGTTTGTATCTTCATATTTAAACGTTTACTGAATCAAATTCAGAAGACAAAAAAAGCCTTTTGATGAAGTCAAAGGAGTTCCTTTATGGCAATTACATCCACCCCTCTTTCTACCCACTGGGTGTGACCGGCCCCGGTGAGAACCAACCCAAGGCCCGGTAACGGCCCGAGGCCCGATGGTTGGGGACCCCTGATGTAGAGTAATCCTGAGCTTCTGTTATGTCTTCTTCTCAAATCAACCAATATGTAAAATGAAACCAAAGTTTTCCAATGTCTTACAGTCAGAATATCAAGTTCAATCCTGCTTTTTACACAAGTGTTTGATTGAAGGTGAAGACAATATTTTTGGATATACTCTGTCTCAGACTTGTTGTTTGCTTACTTCTTTACAAACACTGTATGCTACAGACCCAATGCAAAATATTTGAATCTTTGTATATTTTAAATAAAACTGAATTAATGTGTTGAGGTTTATTTTCTTTGTTTGCCTTTTTAATATCATTAGTTGGTTCATATCAGACCTTTCACAACCTGCAGTTATATCCCCATAACAGCACACACACACACAAACACACACACACATGCAGACACACAAAAACACACACGCACACACACACACACACACACGCACACACGTGCAGACACACAAAAACACACACGCACACACACACACACACACACACACCTGATACAACATGAGCTCTTAATACAGGTCATAAATACAGATATCATTTTTTTTCTGTTTTTATTCTTGAAATTTAACAGGATGTATATAAACCAATCATCTAAGAGTAAAACAGCGCTGTCCCCCTCACAAATCTCCACAGTGTTTGTTGTTTAAGCAGGAAGAAGGACCAAGATGCACTTGACGAGCTGACATTTATAAATATTTAATTGCTTCCACCTTGTGACCAAAATCAGCATTACAAGTGTGAACCTGACAGCCCATTTCCACTGGACCTCAGAGGCCTGTACGATGAAGGTTTGTCTAACTGTCTTTGTAGTACAGTGATGTCCTAAACAGAATCATGTCTGTTTTTAACACAGCTCCGTCTGAGGACCTAAAGATCACGGCAACCAGACATTGGATTTTGGCCTCTTTAAGATGCACAGAGCTTTTTAAAAGGCCCAATACTTATATCGCATACATTTTCTCCCTGTCACAGATTTCTCTTTAAATAAGAGATGTTTTTAGGTGGCTGTTAAAAGAAGTTTATTTTGTGTCACTGTGCAGCAGCACGTGTAAAGGTCATGGGTCCAACAGCCAGACAGAAGAAGTATTCAAACAATTACAACTTAGCAAAAATAAAATGTGTCTATCCTTTCTAAATCTTTGAAGATTGCTCAGTGATGAACACCAGATGGTTGTTTTCTTTCAGGCTTTATGTTTCTTGAAGTCTCTTTTTATCCACAAGGGGGCAGCAGATGCTTGTTATCCAGTGCCATCGTTTGTAGAGAATTTGATCTAATCAGACTATTATCACTAAAGCATAGCAGTGTTATCTTGCATTTAGGTAACAACACTTTATTTATATAACACTTTGAAGACGAGAGCATTAAAGGGCTTGCCAGAGATAAGTGAAGAAAAACATCACAATTAGAAAATAAAATCACAAAACATCAAAATGTAAATATACAGTTAAAATATTATTTTAGTTCAGTTAAAAAATGTACTTCAGGGCTCTTATAAAATAAGCTGTTGGCTAAAAAGGTGAGTCCATAAAACTGTGTCTTAAAACAGGATTTAAAAGCAGAAACAGAGTCTGCTCCCTGAGTGGGAGTCTGTTTCAGAGCTGAGGAGCCATCACAGCAAAAGCTTGATTAACCTTTGACCTCGACCTTGACTTTGATATGATGAGCAGGTCTCATGTGGCCGATCTAAGAGGACTTTTTGGGGCAGCAAGGCGTTAAAAAAATCTGCTGGTGTATTCTAGTGCCAGGCCATGTAAAGCCTTTTAGGGAATGAGTCAAATTTAAAAATGAATAAAGAAACAGGTAATCAGTGAAGTGAAGCTTAAACAGGTGTGATGTGTCAGGAAGTTTGTCTGTGGCTCGTGTACTGAAGCAGATAAAAAGTGCATTACAATAATCTAGATATAATGAAATAAAAGCAAAATGACAGATATGACATGATATGATTTCTGTGTTGTTAATAAATAGCGTTGCTCTGGCCTTTGAGATGTTCCTTAATTGATAAAAACAAGACTGAAGCACTTTCTTGGTGTGTTTCATTGAAAGTATCATCACTGTCAAATCAGGCCAATCAGAAGCACTTCTGTTTTGTCAGAATTGAATTGGTGGAAGTTTTGTGACATACAGCGTCTCACATTAATTCAGCAGCTTTGTAGCTTTGTTTATAACATTTGGATGGTTTTATAATTGGATATACATAATTTGATGTCATCAGAATCATTATGAAATTAAATGTTGTGATGTCAGGTGAAATGGCATAATGGAAGCATGTATGTGCACATGGTAGTTAGTAATAATGAAAAACTGTCAAAGTTTTTTTTCTTGTTAGAAAAAAAACTTTGACTGGTGACTTTGTGCAGCGTAGATTCATCTTCATTTAGTGATAAAAAAAAAGAAAAACAGAGGACTGACGTTGATGATTTTATTCTTTTTCTGTTCCATCACCTGCAGCGGATCCCTCTGTCCCGTCTCCATACAAGGTGAAGCTGCTCTTGCTGCTCTACACAGTGCTGACAGTGAAGAGTCTGGTGTACTGCTGTGGACTCTTCCTGCTGACCGTCCTCAGGAACAAGAGTCTGTCCACAAACTGCACACATGCTGGATGACTATGTTTTACTCTATTTTCTATCCCACCATCATCTCATGAATATATCTCCTATATCACTGAGATGAATTTAAAAATGTCAATCATGACTATATATATGCAATTATGATCAAACAACATTTTGCAGCAGTGTAAAACAAATCCTAAATTATATACAGTACCGTATTTTCCGCACTATAAGGCGCACTTAAAAGCCTTTAATTTTCTCAAAAAACGACAGTGCTAATCCGGAGCGCCTTATATATGGATCAATTGGTTAATTGGTTGATCCATACTGGTTGTACACGGCGCTCAGCGACACTGACTCGGATAATGACGAGAGGGAGCCGGGCATGTTGGATGCCGTACTCGCCCAACTGTTCAATTCGGACACTGAAGAAGAAGAATTCGAGGGATTCGTGGACGGGGAATGAACTGAAAAAGTGAGCTTTACGTGTTATACGTAACTGAACAATGTTGAGTTATGCACTAACGCAGGGGTGCCCAACCTTTTTTGAACCAAGATCTACTTTTAAAGTTACCAGTCTGCCGAGATCTACCAGTCCACATAGTGAGCCATAGCCTTTACCAACAGCCTACAAACGTATTTAATACTCACACAACAAACAGAAAATAATAAATGAGAGTTCTGTAAAAAATAATGCAGACTACAGACTACAGCAGGCTGCTGTGAGATGATTTTGCTTTTGTTAAATTAGCTGCAGACACGGTGAGAGCGAACGGAGTAAAGTCCAACCGACTGTTTGACCGGGTCACGTGTGTTCCCACCTCGGTCCGTACGGATCACGGATCAACTGTGTGCTGTAGCACTAAAAGTAAAAAATAAAAAGGTTCGCGTGGTGGCTGGCGCTCCAGTGCAAGTGTGTGTGTGCGTGTGCGTTTGCGTTTGCGCTGTTTGTTGGTGTGTCTCGTCCCCCGCGATGCTCACAGTCATGAGAGCAGAGAGGAGCAGAGAAAAATAGCTGCAGCTTCATCAAATGCGCTTAATACTCGTAGCATAGTTTCTATATATGACTTTTTGGTAAAACATTTACCCCCCCGGTTTTACCTGCACGTCCTTGCGCATGCCTGCACTCTCTCTTGCGCGCTCTCTCTCTCTATCTCCGCCGCTCGCTCTCTCATGCACACAGCAATTTCATGAATAAATGAAAAATTAAATACACACAGGTCGGAAGTATACTTGGGCTCCCAACACAGGTATCGTGTGTGGGAAACAGTGCAATGAGATGAAATTGAAATCACTTTTCTATTTTACAATTGTATTTTATATTGACAAAACATCTCGCGATCGACTGAGAATCAGTCAGCGATCTACCTGTCGATTGCGATCGACTGTTTGGGCACCCCTGCACTAACGTTTGAATTAGCGGTATCAGACTGTGTTTCTTTTACGTGTTTACAACTGAACAACGCTGGGAGATATTGTGAATATGCACATTAACGTTTGAACAACGTTGAGTTATTGTGAATGCACTACGTATAAAACTACGTTTTTGAGAGTTAAGAGAAACGTCAAAGAAATAATTTATTATTTGGGGAAATCGTCTTATGTACTTTTGTTTTTGTAGTTTTATACGTTACGTTTTATACGTATTTATATTTATATATTCACAATATCTCCCAGCCTTGTTCAGTTGTAAACACGTTCTGTTCTATGCGCCTTATAATCCAGTGCGCCCTATATATGAAAACAGTTCTAAAATAGGCCATTCATTGAAGGTGCGCCTTATAATCTGGTGCGCCTTATAGTGCGGAAAATACGGTAAATGTTATTGTTTTGTATAATACTTTAGCAAATGATGTGAAATGTTTAGAGCTATTAGCGGCTAAGATGCTTTCTTAATTAATCAGGCCCTCAGTCTCTCGTAACAAGCTCTCTTTATAATTTCACACACCGCTGAGAATAAAATGTACAAGAAGATATGAATACAAGCACACACATTGACCAGGAACAAAAAGCTCATAAAGAAAAGTAAACTTGTAAAAATTCAGTGTGTTGATTTGTCTGCAGGTTCACTGGTGACCCTTTTAAACGGTGGTGTCAGTGTTTTATGTAGAGCTCTACGCTGATGATACTCTTGTTTACATGTAGAAACAAAACATGACATAGCAGCTTCATCGGTGGAGAGCTGAAGCTGAATGATACACAAAACATGCTGTGTGCTTTTCTTATTTTATTTTCTAGTTTATGGAGGATTTAAAATATTTTTGTTTGGTAGGGACTTTACATAGACTGCTTTTTTTCTGCTAAATTACAATAAAATGTTTTAACAAATCAATACAGAATCACAAATTTAGGCAGAAGTTACTAAAGATCTCATGTATTTAAAATATAGTGATTTTACATTTTAGCTAGTTCACAGTGCGCCTGTAATTTTTTTTTTTTTTAAAGTAAATGCAATAAGAAATAGAAATGTATGTTGAACTGACGAGCTGAAAGAATAAAGTCGCATATAACAAACATTGTTGTGTCGTTTGTATAATTAACAACACAATGTTTTGATTTAAAATTAATCCTGAACAAAGACTTCTCTTTACCTTCTGAGCCTGACTTTATACTTTATTAGTTTCAGTGCATGCTGCTGCGTAGACCAGTGGTTATGAACCATGTAAAGGGCTATTTCCCTCGAGGCCGGCGGCCTGGGTTCGACTCCGACCTTCTTCATTT